TAAATCAGGTTAAGATTGAGACGTAAAGGAAGAAGTTCAGTAGGCAGAAAAAAGCTAGTGTTAAAAAAAAAAAGCACAAAACAAAACCCAAACACTTATGCAAATACAATCTCTACCACACCGCTATTTTGGCCTGAATTAGCATTATCATTGAAGCATCTGTTTTATGTTATACTATAAAACCCCAAGAGATGATGCACTGGAACCAGAAAACATCAGTAACACAGTAACTAGAAAAAGGGAAGAATAAAATGTGGTCCTCCTTCAAAATAATGCACATATTCACTTGGCACTGTTACGCATATATAAAATATGCATCTACAACCCTCCCTCTAAAATGTGGAAATGCACACATTTCTCAAACCAAATCTTATAAAACTAGATAAATACTTATAAAAATGGATATATAAGAACCAAAAAATAGCTTGGGAGTATTTTTAATTGACTGGCACTAGAGACTTGCTAATATACTATTAATGTTAAAAGGCTACATATGGTTCTGAATTGGAATCATAAATAAAAAAAAAGCAAAAAAGTTAACTTTCAAAATTCAAGCCAAGCTTTTTCACTTTTGCAATGGTTTCTGTCTTTGATGATAAAGTACATGACAAAATTTAAAATAAGCCATTTGAATTATGAGCTGACAAAGTTATGTTGGAAAAGGTACACAGAAAGTGAAATGTGCTCATTTTTCATAACCATGTAACTCACATCGGAGCCAAATAATTCATTCTTCGGCAAGCACTAATCAGAAGAAACTTTAAGACAAAGATCTTTTTAAAATTATTACAGTTAGACCTCAAATCCAGAATTGATAAAGGCTCCATTGCACCAGACATATAAACTCACACTAAAAAACAGACTCTGCTATGAAGAGTTTATAATCTAACTATACAAAGGAGACAGAATGGGAAGGAGGAAGTATTATAAATGAAGAACTGAGAAGCAGAAACATTTAAGTGATTTGAGAATCACAGAAGGAACCTGTTATAAAAAAAGAAAAAAAAAAACCAGGAACTGAAATTTAATCTGCTGGATCACAGTTCAATAATTTATTCATAAACCAGAGGTACTCAACGCCAGGTCTGGAAGTTTGGCAATGGGGGAACACTGACACAGCTCACTACCAAATACCCAGACCCACTGGACGCCCTGGGCCCTGCAAACTGGATCAGGGGCCTGATCCAGATGTACAGGCCCAAGAAGGGGCAGCATGAGGCCCCAGGGCCCTATCCTGGTGTGGAAGGCTGGGAGGGGGCAGAACTAGGCCCCCAGGAACCCATCCCAAAGGTGAGGGTGGCATGGGGCTCCAGGAACCAACCCTAACGCTCAGGGGCAGGAGAGGTGGCCTCAGAGCCCACTCCTGGAGTTTGGGGCAGGGAGGGAGCAGTGTTGGGCCCCATGGACCAATCCTGGTGCAAGACCAGACCTGCCCCACTCATCTGGTTCACAGGCCCAAAAGGTTAAGTGCCACTGTCATAAGCCACTCTCCCACACATTTTCTTCTGCAGTTTGGAATGGATTCAGAACAAGTTTCACAACTGAATAGTTTGAGAAACTTTTCTATACGAATTATATTTTACCATATATATTTGGCATCAGTGTTCTACTTTTTTGTAAAGAAATTTATGAAGACACTAAGAAAAAAAAAGAATCCTACATAGGAATGAAGGAAATATAGTATACCTGGTGTATCCTCAACAAGAATGGAATTCCAAATGTTCCAAAAACCTCTTTGTGGAAGTGTGCCACTGTGATAAGCATCTCATTTTCCTTATCTATATCTACCTGGTCCAGAGAGATTTCCTAAATTCAGATACAAAACTATGATCATGATAGGCTAAAACTGGCAAGAAAACTTTAACTTGTAAAAACATAATCAATCCATAGTCTTAACATCTATAACCAACCAAACAACATATCTTAAACTAAAAGGGATTTCAGTGACAAAAGGTCATTTAAGAGCCATTTTTTTCAGGGTGTTTGTGGGATAAGGAATGGATATCAGAGGCAACTTCCCTTTAGCTTCCTTTCATGGGTTTTCTGTCACAGAGCCAGGATGCAAGACCTCAACATGAAGTTATTTCCCTGCCACATGAAGAGACTTCACAAATCAAATGTTTTCTGTAAGTGGTGGCTATGACAATATCCCCATGCACTCCTCCTCCTTTCTTTTCAGTGAGAAATTTATACTTATGGCTTAATATCATTCCATACTTATGAATTTTGATACAAGTTAAGTGCTGATTGCTTCAATTATTTTAAGTACGAGAAAGAAAGTCTTGAGGCTCAAAACCATGTCATCTAGCTCAAACACATAACTGAACAAAACTCCCCAATTGAAAGGAAGGAAGAAAAAGTATGCAGGCAAGCACAAGCTTACAACTTGGAAATTAGGTCCTAAGCACAAAAATTTACAGCACAAGCCCTGCATGAACCTGGGAATTGCTGAGGAGCCTAATGACTATGGATTATTCCTTGTACAGATTTAATTCTCTCTCATAAAATCATTTGGGCATAAATCATCACGTTTAAAAGAACCTTAAGTTCCTCTTTAGTGGATTTGTTTTAAAGTTACCATGCAAGCCAGCTAGTTTGCTTAGAAGAGAACAATCTGAACATTGTAATTCATGCTGCTTAAGATTTACCTCTATTCGAAACGTTCGGCTTGTTGCAGGTGATAAACACTCTAACAACTCATCTTCTTGATGGACACCAATTATTTTGTAGCTTACAATTTCTAGCAGCCTTAAAAAAAAAGGAAAAGAAAAGACATCAGTGTAACTTTTATTTAATACAGTGGTTTTCAAACTTTTCTGGCGACATATTGCTTTACTTGTAAAATAGTGCTGCTCACACCCCACACACCCTCTTTGCATGTCCATTCCTTAGGAAGTGTTGACACACATCAATGTGCAGCAATGTCTTTATTCATGTATTAACCAACCCAAAGTTCCACCATCATTATTAAAATTTAGGCATAAGTCCCTTGGCTAAGCACTGCATACCCCCCAGAATAAGCCTACCCGACTTTGAAAACCACTGATCTAATAAAATTGGAACATATTACTACAACCAGAATTAAAATTATATTAGTACTGGTATATAGTTTCTATTAATTAGCATCTAAGGCAGTGATGTTTAATCAGGGTGTTGTGACACCTTGAGGATCCCTGAGAATCCTTTCAAGGGTGCCACACGATGTTAGCACTGTTAGGTGAACAGGCGAACCCAGGGATTTCAAACAAAAATCCATACTGTTAAAAATATCCTGCCCTGATGTGGTCTTTTTCAGTTATCTGCAACAGAAAAACTGCTGTATTATTTTTTTGTAGTAAAAAATGAGTGAAGACTAAGAGCTGGCATTTTTGAGGGCTGCCTTGAGGCTAAAAAAGATTGAGAAACTGCTCTAAATAAAGAGCAAACCTGCCCCACCTTTTATTACTAGTTTTAAAACATGTTTCTACCAAAAGTACTCTCACAGAATTTCAATAACCAGGAAACAGTTTTAACTTCTATGAAGAATCAGTGCATCTGCATCACATACTGACATTGTAAATTATGTTTTCTGAGATTGTATCACAATGGGTTTTTTGAAAGTTTGAAAAGTCAGTGGCCTGAGCTGCTAGAAAATACAATAATTTTATAGACTGTCCAAACTGGCAAGTACAAAAAATGTTAAATGTCAGTATATTTTTATTCAATGGAAGAGTAAAGGATTTTTTATGCAACTGTAACTTATTTACCTTGATTGAAATTCCAGCATTAGATGTTCTGCAGCCCTTTGTAATACAGGTTTTAAACTCATGACACCAGACTTTGTTAATGTGCACTTGATTTTCATGATACTGTAAACCCCAAAAGCTTTTGTTTAGATTAAATCAACAGTCAAATCCATGAAAATCAATATCCTTTCCAGCAGTACTTACCTTAGTTTCCCCGAACCCTTCTCAGACAGTTCTACAGCTTTTTTACATTCTTCCAAGAGGTCCCGTACACACCCATGCTTATCTGGATATAGCGTTATTTCCTATATAATATTTAAAATAAAAAAAACAAATTAGAGAAACTGAAACGTTAGTAACCACACCAAAGGACAGAACATGCTGAATTCTGACTTTCACACCAATCCTTGTTTAACAGATTTTATTGTTAACAAACATATGCCAAAAAAATGCCTTGTTTTTTTCCAATCCTTATTCTTAGGAACTGTAAGTTGGTGACAATATGCATATTTAGGATGTTACCCAGAGAATAATAGATGCGACTTTTCTCAAATTTCTAAGTGGCACAAAAATTTTAAAAAATTAAACATCTGTATACTTAATCATTATCACATATGTACAATATGTTATCAATATATTATTAAATGTTTTATAAAATTGACTATGTATATAAAATATATATGAAAAACTTGTAAAAAATTACTAGCAGTAGCCACAACTTTACTCACCTCTTCCCTAAATTGGCTATTTAGCCATATGCACTTAAAACTTCTCCGGTTTTCAAAATCTGTGATTTTCATTTTGAGCTGAGGGAAGAGAGGAATAAAAACAAAAACCACACACACACTTTAAAACAGGCTTGTAAAGACAATCACATTTTCCTTCCCCTTTCCTGCTTCTTCCCCCACCCTGCAACAATGAAGTTTCCTACCTGTTGATAGTAAAGCTTTTTAGGTTGCCTAGGTTTGAAGAACTGCAGGAGATCTCTTAAAGTACCTTCATAATTATGTCTAAGAGGATTACCTGGGCCATCCCTATAACTACAGAAGAAAACACCACATAAACATCATTTCATTATTCTTCACTCCACAGTAAATAACCAGTAGGAATATAAAGTAAGTTTAGTTGTCTATACAAATGAAACTTTATACATTTGAGAGGATAAGAAACAGTTGTCCAAATTATACAGCGTTATGTTTATAGAGCTCAGGCAATTTTTTAAAATTAATGTATTTATGAGCACAAATCGCATCAACTTTCAGGAGGAGCTGGGTGTCTTACTCTTTCCTCCCCATCTCTTTTAAAGTACTCCTCTCCATTATAAACCAAAGACCTGAAGTCTAAAATTAGCAATGCAAACAGAGCCCAACAATAAACCTACTATATCACGGCCTTATTCATAAATAAAAATGAAAACACTTTTAATGTTTTGCTTTTTGATTACCACCTTATTTAGAAAGGCATGGTCAAATCAGTGTCCTACTAACTCTGAAAATATAACAAAACTATCTGAACCAGTCAGCAGAAGCCAAATAACAGCTTTTGGAACTGCAGTTTACCATATACATTTTAATAGTTTAAAAATCTATCTATCTTTCTTGAATGAAACATATTCAGTCCACTCCACATCAGGCATCTGGCGTGTGGTGCTGAAAGTTTGGGCACCACTAAGCTAGACAAACTGCTGCGAACAGATGCATACCAAACCCATACCTACTCAGAGGAAGAGAGAGACAGAGATATATATCTGCTGCGCTAGTTTTATATAGCACAGTGTTAAGCAGCTATCTAGATTAATACTCTTGTGTAATAGTGCAGACCAAAATAATATATAACAACTCATATAGCAGGCAACTGAATGCCCATTTAAAGTTCTGGAAAATAAAGATTTAGTTGTGACAACATAGGAGATGCTATTAAATAATTAAGGAATTTACTAAGCCTACCCATGTTAAAATCAGTTTAAAGATATGTTAAACAAAAGTGACAAATTTAAACTAAAACATTATATTTATACAAACTCATCTTACCCTTGGGACTTGAAAAACTGTAGTAGCATTGGATCTGTATTAAGTCGCTGTGCTACTGTCTTTGCAACCTGTGGAAATAAATAAAATATTTTTAAAAGTTCTAAATGACTTCAGTCATTTATGTTACTGATTTGTCTTTGGTCATGCATAATATCGGCTGTATTTACCTTCTGTAAGGCTCAGGGAATCTTATGAGAGAAAAACAGTAATACCTAATCCCCACACTAATGGTGATAGAATTCAGGAACTGAGGTCTCTGGTATTTCAAGATGGTGGACATCCTACTAGATCTTGTACAATAACCATTAAATGCCTAGCATAGGACAGTGTTATTTGCTCCCTTTTTATAAAAGAGTAAGCTATTAAATAACAATAATAAAGATCCTAGACCTTAATACCTTGTAGAAAAATTGGAAATAATTCTGCCTGTTTTCTTCACCCTTCCATTTATTACTGTAGCTGTGGGGAAAATGAGTTGTTTGTGAAATCACAAGCAGCACATAGTTCACCACAATATTAATTCTCCAAGCACAACTGATATAAAAGAATTAGCAATTCAGGGGACAAAAGAGGAAACAGACTGCTGAAAGCAGATATAAATCACAATAGTGATCATAAATGGCACTTATTTGCTCCCTGATGCATGCAGATGCTCTCAGTTGCCATCTTCAATGGCAAAAATAAATTTAGCATCCTTCAGTGTTTCTTGATACTGCAAAAACGACAACTATGGGGCGTGAGCTGGATCTATTTTGGCTAAAACACAGTAGTTCTACTAAAACATAATTAGCAGAACTATTAATTATTATTATTTCAGTACTTTTCCCTTTTGACCATTTTAAATGTATACTTTTGGTGAGCCTTTGCTAGTACCATTAGTGCAGTTACAAACTTAAAACAAGGCATAAATTTAGCTTGAAGAATATTTACAATTGATTAGGATACTGAAGTCAGGGAAAAACGAAACAAAACCCCCCTTATTTTCAGATACCAAAGCTGATGGGGGGAAATATACAAACAAAGTATCTTTAAACTGAATTAATTTTTCTTAACTCTGTGATGTCCATATCTCTATAATGTCATTGTTGGAAAGTATAGAAAGAAAGCTGGAATGGTTTCCATTAGTATTCACAGCATGCTAAGTAGATGCATGTAAATGAAAACAGTCCATACCTAAAAAAAAAGACTATTTTTAAGAGTATTTAATACAGAAAGTGTTATCCTGACCCACTAATTAATCTGAACTTGATTTTATTCCTATACTTGATTTTGCTTACCATTGCAAAGGGGGAAAACATAAATGAGAAATAAAAAGGATAAGTATGGGAATGGTGGACTAGAGACAGCCTCTAGTCCCCTACATCTCCAGGCCATCCTTTTCTCAAGGAATGCCCAAACTCACCACTTCAAATACTCATACATAACTACAAGTCATACAGAACAACAAGGACATCCTATAACATGCCTCGGGTAAAGCATGCATTGCCTATGGCGTTGTCAATGCCATATCATTGCAATGACAGGGAAGCAGTAGAAGCATTAGAGCAGCCCAGTCCAAAACCGCAACTTTAGCTGTGGCCAACATGCCAATACTCAGAGGACAGTAAGAAAATGCTTCAGAAGCCAGTAGCAAACATACCAAGAAAAAAAAAAAAAAAATCCTTTGTGGCCCCTAATGATGACCAGTAAATGCTCTAAAACAGACAGCTACAACACAAGCTACACACCTGAAAGTAATTCATTCTGTTGGACAAAGTAACAACAAATCCAGGATCATTGGGGATGGTTTTATCACAGAAAATTACATCAACACGGTGGTAAAGGTCTCTGAAATATTCTTTTGCTGTTGGCAGCTCACTGTTGTCATTTTCTGGGTCATCTCTACAAAAATAGACAAATTATGCCATTATGTACACAAATACAAATAACTAGGGCTTTTACATATGTTTCTACAGTAAAGCAGTGACACTATTGAGAAATACAGAAATGAAGTTAGGAAATCTTCAGAGCCACCTTTTGTACACAGTAGAACTAAGAAAGTCGGTAGTGATCCATACCCTTCAAATATATTTGCTCTGGGCCAGGGCTTCTAGCATACCTACACTCTATACTCACTTATTTGCCAATCTGGTAGCATGTCAACCCCATTTGTTCTAGAGGGGCATTTGAATAGTACTCTTTCCCCCCGTCCTCCCATTAAAGGCAGCATGCCTTTTATGTTGCCAGAACGTTTGATGTATTCACTATAGTTTTATTATTTTTGTTTACTTTGCACAGTGGCTGGATAGCAGCTCTTGAATCACAGATGTGAACCATCTGTCTAGACACTGGTTTGAGTCACTACTGACTGGTACCCCTTCTCTGGCAGAGGAATAGCACCAGGGTACAAGCTGTGCACTTACCCAAAAGTCAGCAGCCAGCCAAAGGTGCATAACACCAACTGGGTCAACAGGGAATGTGAGTTCCAAGGCATGACATGAGAAATACATTCATCTCACATAATCTGGGGTAAGAGTGCTGAAGATAGACTAGCTGGCTTCCACCCACTGTCAGCCCATGGAGAAAAACAGAGCAACACAGTTGGGTGTGACCAGGAGTGAGAGCACAGAAATGCCGATTTAAAGCCCCAACAAGGTTAAGATCCCTTCAATGGATATAAAAACCACAGGGTTATCCTTTTGCCTTGGAGAAACCTCCAATAAGTACTGATATTCCATTAACTTCTAGAATGCACGCTCACTTAAATCAGGAGCATTTAATCACTGCAGGCCAGAGCACAAACAACATGTTGGTACAAGTGAGGGAAAAAAAGAAGGCAGTTTAGTTCAGTCTGAGAGGAGCTCTCAAAAGTCAAGAGTTTTCTATAGGAGACAATATAGAGACTAAGATCTGAACTGCACCAAAGATCTGCAGCTTCTGAGTTATGGTGGCTTCCGGGGCAAAGCTGTAGAACTCAGACATTCTGATGATCAGTTTTTTAGGGAGGGTTTTCTTACAGAATTGGTAGCTAAACAACCTTAGTAGTTTAATTATTTCCCCACTTTGAACCAGTGGATAGATATTTGCTGACAATATGAATGCTGTTAGAAAACTACACTTTATTTGTAAACCACTGCTAAATAGAAACTTTCACTTAATGTGAATCAGGTAATGTAAACAGAATTATAGCCATCTTCTCAAAATACATACTTCTGAAACACTATGATGTCACCATCCATAAGTTCATCAAGAGCTTTATCAAGAGATACATCATAGTCTTGAATTCTTTCAGTTAAATTGGGTTTAACTTCCTGCAGTAAAAACCAAAAAAGACACAAAACAAATCAGACTCGTTTTTGATTGTGCAGAGAAAATAAATGACAAAATAGTAAACAGGTAGTTGGCAAAGAGATAATGATGCAGGATAATGCATAATTTCTTTCAAATGTAAATAAATGGGAGTATGTAAGAACTGTGATGTTTTAATTTAGATTATATTTAATTCATAAACTTCATTGCTTGTGATGGAGATGGATAGTTCAGTTTTACTGATAATTTTGCATTAAATTCTCTCTCTTCTTACTAGTTTGAATACATACAAACCATAGTTCATTATATTTGAATAGTGGCTAGGTACTAAATATTTTCCAAAGTTTAAAGGCAGTTTTCAACTTGGATAGCTTTCTGAATTGCAGACTATCCAAGTAATATTCGTTTTTTTGGCAAGGCGTAACCTTTTCATGATAACAGACTCTTTTCCTTTTAAACTAGGAGTATTAAGCACATACAATTTAACAGTAGAAAGCAGGTAGGTACTATATGTTACTAAGATATAGGTACCATTGGTTCCATCACCTTAGGTGTTAGAATCTTTTGTGATGCTCAATCATCCCCTCTGAAAGAAGATGCTTTTACACATTCTAAGTTACATTTAAGTTTGCAAGTGCATATATGGAAGTAGATGGTAGCAGTTCTGCCTGCGAGTATAAAAATTCTGTATGTACCTAACCCTCTCTCCCTTCTTCCCCCAACCACCTGTGAGAGCAGTAATATGGCTGCTAATATGGCAGGCACTCAACATCAGAGTTCTTCCTATAGTAGCAAGGGCTTCCCTGAATGTTCAAATCCCAGTAAAACAAGCATTAAAAATATTTTTTTACTCCTATACTTAGGAAAGGGGGTGGGGAATCCCAAATCTTGCTTGCTGCCTCATATAATTTGGCAGAGGCAAGGGAAAATGCAACATTTCCTCCCCGCAGCTGGAGACAAGTCTAGACAGTTGCAGATGCAGAGGTGGAGCATGGAAAGTATGCAGACCAACCCTGCTAGCAGCAGCAGCAGCTCTGCTGTCTGGTGACTCGGGGAACATGCATAGATTTAATGTTAGCAATTGCTAACAATACAGAATTTCCATGTAGATAAGTTAATTCTTTATTGTTTCGTTTTCTAACTGCTAGTTCAAAGTTAGGTTTTTACTGATACTCTCCCAAAATATGACGGACAAATTTTGAGATACAGCAAACTTGCAATACACTGTTGTCCATACCACTTTTAACAGCGAAAACTGCTTTGTTAGCTGTAATAAGCACAAGCTACAAGAACAGTTTAAAGTCTTTTGCTAGAATGCTCAATCAACCCGTTATATTTAAGGAAACTTAACTCCCAATTCACTAGGAAGAGGGATACTAACAACCTTCACAATGCCCTTTAACACAGCTTTGCGGCTAAGGCCGTGACAAGGTATGCAAGCACATAGTAAGTTATTAGCAACTCTGATGTAAAAAACAGCATATACTCTTATTACAAACTGTCATAGCAACACTTGTCAGAGCCAGTGTTTCAGCATTTAAGTTTCCAGATACCCAGTCCCAGTTTAAAAGAGACTGTAAATACTCAGAAGATCAGAAAATAATCTATCAAATAAAAACACAACCAAATGCATTTTATAGATTATTTCCTTTCAGTGAATGACTATACATTTCAACCTGTCTTAATGATAACGTTTTGAATCAACTTCAAAGAAGAAGTTTGCCTGGTTCACACGAGACAGCTAAATCTCATATGATACATTAGACCACATGATTAAACAAATCTATCTTAAATCAGAGCTAGCATTAACTTAAGCCACTTTTGAAACCGTCCAATTTTCAGGTTCCTATAGAATCTAAATTTTCACAGCGTAAACTGACTTTTTTAAAGTTTAAGGATGATTCTGGATGTATTTTAAATCATGTTTATTTAAATTGTATTTGAAATAACTCAAGTGCTATTTTAGTGAAATTCTTAGCTTTCATATCACATGGCAGTTTTTCCTTATAGAAAACTTGCTGATATACAGGTCTACAGATTTATTGTAGGAATAATAATCCAAACCTCATAGAGGATAAGGTTAGTTTCTTGAGGAAATCCTGCTCTCTCACACATAACTGGAAGCAAGTCACCTATTAAAAAAGAAAAGAATATGAAGTACAGTATAGCTTTTGCTACTAATGAAAGCTATAGGTTAGGATGCAGAAAGATTTCCATCATAACCTTCGCCCAACCACTGCTCATATGCCCAACTTTCTGAAAAATAATTCTCTTAAAGACAAAACTTTCCATGATTGGATTGAGTCCAAAGGATAGTTTGCTTTTGCTTTAGGGTCTTATTTGAGGAAATTCTATATAGCTAACATGATAAATAATGATTCCCCCTCCCCCGCATTTTAAGATTATTTAATCTCTCTCTCTTTTTTTTTTAAAAACAAAACAACCCAAAATATAGCTGGAGCAAAAGAAAATGGAAAGTCTGAAACATTGCTTTTGGAATTAAGCCATTATTAATGAGCTGCATCATTTGCATTGTTTGGAGACAGAGCAGGAATTAACATTTCTACATGCACTCAGTATGCATCTGCTGGGGTTTTACCAAATAGCCTAATGAAGCGCCATGGCCCCTGTCACACCGGATTGGAGTAAAGCAGAACTACACATACACCATCAGGGGGCTGATAAGTGGTGGCAAGGAGGAAACAGCCAGGAAAGACAAAAACTGAACTCGCGGTTTCAAAATAACAGGTTTATTAAACAGACAACACACTACACAGCCCCATGAAGTTAATTGGTGTACACACACACACACACACACACACACACTCTCTTCAACCTGACAGGCACAGTGTGCGCGTGCACACACACACACACACTCTCTCTCTCTCTCTTCAACCTGACAGGCACAGTGTGCGTGTGCGCACACACACACACACACACACACACACACACACACACACACGCTCTCTCTCTCTC